GACTGAACAGAGGACTGGTCACAACAGAGACAGGACTAGCCTGTATCACTAGTTTTTCAGTAGCATTCAAAAGAGAATTCCCATCTGCAAGACAGGTGATTAATGAGTTTTCAGTTCAGAACAGTGATGTCATCATTATCCACTTTGATAAACTCCCAAATAGAGGTGAATTGCCCCTGCATGAGCTCTCCTGGCACAAGGAGATCTTTACATATTTCCTCTTTTAAAACCTCTTTTTTGTGCTCTGCTGTCTCAGATGTTTTTTGCTAGGGAAAAGTTTTCATTGTCCTTTATATTCTTTCAACAGGAGATTCCCAACCCACTTTGTAAAAAAGTGGCCTATGTACTTTCTTTTAGGTGATTTTAATTAGTACTTCAAGTTCAAAATTATAGATGTTAATGAGATAGAGAGATCCAAACTCTTGTTCTTTCTGAGTACATATATATATATATAGCAGAGAGTGCACAGAGTAAGAATTTATTCTTAGGTCTAGAAGGTATTATATTTTTCTTTTCACTTTATTTTTTTAACTAGAGAAAGTAAAAAGCAAAATGACTTGCTTGAATTTATTCTCCTCCCTTATAGGCTTATGTTTACAATCCGAAAAGCACCACGCAGGGGGCACAGTTGGCATTTCAAGTGCAGAAGGCTGTGACTGAGGTATAGTAAAGCTGTGTTGGGAGTTTCCATTAGAGCTTCCTGTTGTAGCAAATAAATCCAGTCTCATTCATGCTTGATAGCTGATACAGATACGTCATCCACGTCATCCACAATCAGTTTTTAAGGAGTGTGATAAACTGTTGGACCACTGGCTTGAGAAGAAAATTTCCTTCTTTGCTGAGACTTTGTCACTTTTCTGGTGGATCTCCAGGAACTTTAGATCCCCTTTCTAATAAGGTTTTTTTCCTCAATGCAGCTGTCGTTCTCAAGTCTAATAAAAGCTATGTCTTCCTTTTCTGGGCTTTCTAGTTTGACAGTTTCTTGTCATAGCTTTGTTCCACAATAAAAAATAAAAAACCTCTGTGTGTTAAAGAAGTCCTTGGAAAACTCTAAGTGATAGAGTCAGCATTTACAGAATCACAACAGGTCTAACTGACCTTGGCAGCAGTAGGAGATCACCGTTTCTCATGGATGAGCTTTTCTTGAATGTCTGTCTTTTGTGCTGTATAAGGCAGAAATACCTTTTCTGGATCAAGGCTACTACTTTGTGCTCTTTAACAGAGATTGTCTACTATTGTTAAATATTATCTGTTTGAGGAATATCTTCATTTCCCTTAATCCATGAAAGTCTGTGTCTTTTTCTATGGTATATTAAGCTAAATCTACATCGGTGGTATTATTTTAAAGCCTTATATTATTTTGTTGTGGATTATTTGTTTGAGGATTTTGTATGTTTTACTTATATCACAGTCAAACTGCAAAGATTACTGTTTGTGGATGTCCTCCAAATCATCTCTCTCTATTCTAGCTACCAGAGAGTAATCAACATTGTTTTCTTGTTGGAATGACCACTGTCCTGGTTTTTTAGGAGTTTACAGGAATACCGGTTGAAGGGAATGAATAGTCTATATTGATTGTTTATCTTTAAAAACAGACTCTTCAGTAGCATGTGTAAGTCAAACAGAGTTGAATATACATGTTAATCAGATTCTATGGAACATGAGGAGGGGGAGCCCCAAGCCATATTTGAAATGATCAGGTTTCTAACAATTTGTTGGACGCATATAAATTTATAAGAGCTGCATGGAGGCAATTGACTGGCTGCATAATGCACTGGCAATAATTAAGTAAAAACAAAGAATGATTCATAATAGAAGAGAATAGGAAGAAACTCACACTTGTTCACAGCTGTAGAATGTAGAAAAAAAATACCCATCCTCCCAAGATACGCTTACCTCTCCTCACAGCAGAATTTCCCTGCTTTGAAGTTTTATTGAGAAGACACAATTTGCAATTTGCCCAAGAAGTCAGCAGGCCCAAACTACTGTGCCAGAGGGCAGGGAAAGGTGGTTTCAAAGCTGGAAGCCCCCTGGAAGGATGATCTGCAAGTGCCCTACTTTCTTTTGAATAAAGTGTGACCTCCACTGGTTGTTGTATTCAAGAAGAGGGGAAAAATCCTATCATGGAAGAAGGTCCCAAGGCATTTTGTGGGGCAGTCTTAGTTCAGTGTCACCTGCAAGTCTTCTATTTAGTTCACTGGAGAGATATGGTATTTACATATGTAGAAGTGGAACTGCATGGGGGGCAGGAGAGAGCTGAAGCATGTACTTACACTTGCAGAGTGTCATGTGTGTCTTTCCTCTGCCTGTCTCTCATGAACATGGGATTTGAAAGTTATGCATTAAAAAATAAAAGTAAAAATAGTCAGTTGCTGAGACTAACAGTTAAGTACTTTTGCTTAATTTTTCCCCAATTTTATGTTTCTATAAGCACTTAAAAAATGAAATTATTAAAAAAGAAACAAAACTAAAGAAACCCACCAAAAACAAACAAATAAAGAAACAAACAGACTGTCCAGGGCAGAATTTAACCCACAGAGGGGATGCAAACTGAACCTTAGAGTAGAAAGTACCTTTAAGGCAAAAGAAAAGATATTTAAGGAACCTGAGCATTAGTTCATTTCTGCTACGATGCCTTGCCACACTGAGAAGGAGAGTAAAGGGTAGGAAGACACAATATTTCTAAAATTCCATGTCTTTGTGGATTTAAGTCAGACTCTTAACCTTATTTGAATATAGTATTTTTGCAGTTTAATATATTTCATACTGAATGTATAAAGAAGATTTAATAACTGTCTCTTAGCTGTGGTTTATCTCTACCTCTGAGAAAGCCAAAATGAGTTTCTAGTGAAATGGCTGAAAGAGCATGCACGGTAAGTCTTCTATCAAATTATTTTCAGTCTTGCTGATTTGTAAAAGATCTTTCAGAAAGATTCTGGCTTTCCATGTAGAATGTTAAAGTTTGATTCTGTGCCCAAAATTTATAAAACTAACTACAAATAACCAGTGCCATCTTCTGCTTTTTAAAACTCCTGAGTTTACTTGCTATACATGGAATTTGTGCTAGTATTTAATGCAAGTTTTTCCCTCAAAAAAGAAAATTGTGTTATAGTGTTTTGCATATTTCTGGATGTAATAGCAATTAAATATCTTGGAAGAAACTAATCAAATCCCCAGGCTCCTCTGCCTTTTTGTTTTTCAGAAGTGCGTCACAGATAAAGGACTAACTTTGTGAACACACTCCTAGGGTAATAAGGACACAAAACGAACAATGCTTATGTAATTAGTCACTAGACTCAAGTGTTTCCAGGATAAGATCTTCTGAAGTATCATAGCAGAAATATAAATGGAATACTTAGAGTTGCTGTTGTCAACTATTAAAATTGGAAGTATTTCTGCAGCATTTCAGATTCTCTGCATAGTTTTGCATCAGGTGTTCTTGGGAGTTGGATTGCACAAGGGCAGTTAACTGCTTTCCTCCCACCCCAGAAGCAAAGTAGTTCACTGGCACAATTTAAGGCAACAGAGGCAGGCTGGACCAGTCTGCTTGTGTTTGCCCTGCTTCCCTAGCCTTTTGCCTATCTTAAGTGATATAAAGGCATCTCTTGAAAGTGCTGCAGATGTTATTCAAATTTTTAATAGATTCAGTTTCCTAACATTCCAACACAAACATTGGAACATGGTAAAGTTGAGTTGACTGGACATCAAAAAGTATAAACTCGCAGTGTTCATGCAGTAACTCTCATGGGATCACTGCTGCTGAAGGTTGGTCCTACAGCCCTTGCGTATTACTATGTATCTTCCAGGGCTTCCCAAAGTGCTCTCCATGCACACCCAAAAAGGCCAGATAATTTCTCCCTTAGCGTAATGGGAAGAAAATTGTGGTGCACACATTATCACACATAGCTTAGGGGGTATACTGCCATAATTATTAGCACTGCTTCTAAGTCAGGAGTTAGTGCAGGCACAGCATCCAGGTAGTATTAGTGGTTCTGCTTTGGAAACATACTCAAATGTGCCTCTGTGCCATCTGATGTTTCTGGTTCAGGAGAATCTCTGTGTTTTCTTGTCTTCTTGAACACTCAAAATCAAGGGTTAAGTTCTGCTTTTTTGTTTAGTACAGCTTGATTCATTTGGGAGTTGTCATTTGTAGCATAATGAAAGTGTGGTTTTGCAATAAGTTTCATCAAATTTAAATCTCTGCTGCTGCTGCTGAAAATGGTGGCAATGCTCTCCATGTCTCCCTGCTTCAGCTGCATCTTTCTGCTGCCTCCCTAGGGAGAATGAGGTTGCTCCTGGCTTCATGGTCAGGAGCCATCTGAAAATTAGTGGCTCAGATCTCAGGTGGATCATTTTGGTATTTTTGATCTGGCTGACTCTGTGGCAGCATGAGAACTGATGATGAAACAAAAGAGTATTTACCTTGATCTGAGGCAAGGAGGGAGGGAAGGATAGAGAGAGTGGGCCTGCCTCTTGGCACAGTCCATACTTAGGTTAGCTCAAGCCAATAATGAAACTGCACCTAGGAGTCTGCTTGCTAAACTCAGAAGTGAACTGTGCTTCTGGAATTGAGGAAGAGCAAACACTGGAAAATTCCAATGCCTTTTTTTTTTTTTTTTCAAGACTTACTTTCTGTAAGTAAGTCTTTCTGTAATATCCAGAGAAATTGAGGCAGAGCAATCATACAGGAAAAATAAATAGGAGTAGATATTGAGTGGAAACAATAGTAAGAGTTAGACACCTCACATAGATCCAGTTTTCCATTTTTTTTTTACCATGTAAATCCCCTAATTTTCCCTAAAACATTCTTT